TTGGTAGCCACAAAGTTGTACATATCACATCAAGTGCAAGTGGCATATCTTATCTCGAGTACTAGTTAATAATGGCTCTGTGCTAAATGTAATGCCACTAGTAACCCTGACGAAGTTGCATGTCGACAGTACACATATGAGGAGTTGTCAAAGGGTAATTTGAGCATTCGTTGGAACCAAAAGAGAAGTGTTGGGGAAAATTAATATTCCTTTTACTATCGGCCCATCTATCTACGAGGTTAAGTTCCTTGTCATGGATATCACGCCTACCTACAATTTCCTATTAGAAAGACCTTGGATCTATCAGGCAGGTGTATTTTCATATACACTGCACCAAAAGCTCAAATTCGTGATCGAGGGTAGATTGATATGCATCAATGTCAAAGAGGACATTACTTCTTCTGTTTCCACCACTTCCCCTTACGTTGAAGTAGATGAGGTAGTTATGGAGTGTTCCTTCAGATCTCTAGATTTTTTCAATACAACATTCATGGATGAGGAAAGGAAGATATCAAGCCAAAACTGTACAACTGCACCCGAATGGAACTCAAGCTGACTTTGAGAAGGGGAGCCAAGGTTGGAAAAGGGCTAGGGATCTGCCTATAGGAACCTATTAATCCCATTTTTCCCACCACAAAAATATATCACTTTGGCTTGGGATATCAACCAACCTTGAGGGAAAAATTAAAGGGAATCTAAAAGAGCCAGGAAAGGAGAAGAACAATGTTAGATGGAGATGATCTTAAGTGGGAGCCAATGAATTTCTCACCATTGCATAATACCTTTGTGTCTAGAGGTCATATGTTTCAAAGAAGCCAACAAGTCAAGAAACCAATTGTCGAGGATGCCTTGGAAGATATGAGCATTAATGTGATATTGGATGATAAGGCTGAGGAATGAATGGTTGTAGGAATTTACCCCACACTACCAAAATTCATGCCGGATAATTGGATTGTTGAAGAATTCCATGTGTTTTACAATTCTGTTTTAGAGTAATACACAAAAAACTTTCCCTGTTGTCTAAACTCGGGATAGTAGGTGATCTTGTACAAAGGGTTAATCAATTTGTTTTAATTTTCAATGAAAGATGCATTTCTATTAATTCACAAAGTGGCAAACATTCTCTCATCCATTTCTTCATTATTTATTATTTATGTATATATTCTTTCATTCTATTTATCTTGATATGGGATAGATTTCTCTTGTATGTGTATGTGTACATATATCCTTTCGTTTGTTATTCTCTATATACGTCAGATATTAATAGCATGAATGCTGATGACACTGAACCAAAGATTGATTTTGAGCTGCCCATATCTCAAGGGGAAATCAAGGGTTGTGATAATGATGAAGAATGTGACTTACCTTCTAAAATGCTAAAAATGATGGAAAGTGAGTGTTGAAAGTAGAGGAATACCTTTTTTTTTATTTTTCAATAATCAAACAGGTTACACGTTCCCTAAATATATATGCTGAAACACCTAATTTCTAGGGATATATACAACTTACCTAGAATAGGATCAAATCTATCTAAAACAGAAAGAAATAAATAGGAAATAAATATATAAGGATATGGTAACAAGCTACCAGAATCCCTTAATATATGGAACTGGATATTGATCTGTTTGACTCTAGATTTCCTTAATTTCGGCCCTCTAACATGCAGACAGATATGCATTCAAACTAAACTCCAAATAATTCTACACTCCCCCTCAAGCTGGATGGTAAATGTTAATTAACCTCAGCTTGGAACTTAGATCATCAAAAGTCTTTCTTGGTAGAGCCTTAGTAAGAATGTCGGCTGTTTGAAGACATGTGGGTACATATAGCATTTTGATCATCCCTTCCTCTATCTTCTCCTTTATGAAGTGCCGATCAATCTCCACATGCTTAGTTCTGTCATGATGGACTGGATTCTTGGCAATGCTGATTGCTGATTGGTTATCACAGAACATCTTCATATGTTCTCCACTAGAAATTCTTAATTCCTCTAGTACCCTTCTTAGCCATATTCCCTCACAAATACCATGGGCCATTACCCGAAATTCAACTTCTGCACTGCTCCTTGACACCACTGATTGCTTCTTACTTCTCCATGTGACTAGATTTCCCCACACATAAGTACAATACCCTGAAGTTGATCTTCGGTCTTGTATTGATCCTGCCCAATCTGCATCACTGAACACCTCTATGTCTCTTCTTTGATTCTTCTCAAAAAATAATCCTTTCCTTGGTGTTAGCTTCAGATACCTTAGGATTCTATACACCACCTCCATATGTTCTTCATTTGGATTGTTCATAAACTGACTTACCATGCTGACTGAAAAACCAATGTCTGGTCGTGTGTGAGAAAGGTAGATTAGTTTACCTACTAGCCTTTGGTATCTGCCTTTATCCACCGGTGCACAATTTTCTTTAGTGCCTAATTTTGTTGTTGAATCCATAGGTGTGTTCGCAGGCTTACATCCAAGCATCCCAGTTTCTTTTAAAAGATCCAGTACGTATTTTCTTTGGGAAACACAGATTCCCTTTCTTGACCTTGCAATTTCCATGCCTATGATGTATTTGAGCTGTCCAAGGTCCTTGATTTCAAATTCCTTAGCTAGAAGACCTTTGGTAGTGTTGATTTCTTCCTCATAATCTCCTGTTAGGATAATGTCATCCACATATACAATGAGGATAGCCAGTTTTCCTGCAAATGAGTGGTTGACAAACAAGGTGTGATCTGATTGACATTGAGAATAGCCATGATTCTTTATTACCTTGGTAAATTTCTCAAACCAAGCTCTTGGTGATTGCTTGAGCCTGTATAATGATCTTTTAAGTTTGCAAACTTTGTTATCAGTTTTCGGTGTCTCAAATCCTGGAGGGATTTCCATGTAAACTTCCTCAGCTAAGTCCCCATTTAGAAAAGCATTCTTGACATCTAGTCGGCGAAGGGGCCAATCAAGATTTGCAGCTAGTGATAGGAGAACCCGAACTGTGTTTAACTTGGCTACTGGGGTAAATGTTTCTTCATAGTCGATTCCATATGATTGAGTGAATCCCTTTGCCACTAGCCGTGCCTTGAATTTTGGTGACAGGCCTTCATATGATATAAAGGTGTATATAGGATGTTTTGTGCAAGTTCTAACCCCTTTCCTCACGGCAATAGGATAGTCACTGTCATCACCAGTTAGTTTACTCTGTGAGGGCTCAGGATTAGGATTACCTAAAGGATCTTCACAAGATCTTGGACCAGGATCAGATTCTTGGTTTTGCTGCAGATGTGCTGGATCTTCATAAGATCTTGGACTAGGATCAGATTCTTGGTTTTGCTGCAGAGGTGCTGGAGGTTCCATCTCCTTTTGGTTCTTTCTCCTCCGTGAATAGGTAATCAACTCATTATTAGTTGTTGATTTACTAATGTCCAGATTTTGGTATGAAGATTCTAGGGAGAGATGTTGTTGAGGAGAAATAGAGTTAGAATTTGGAGAGAGCTGAACTGATTCATCAATATCCCAAATTTGATATTCCTGGGTAAAATTGGTCTCCCCTTGAATATCAGATTTGGGGTAGTAGGGCTGGTGCTCAAAAAATGTAACATCCATGGAGTGGTAGTACTGTTTAGTGACCGGTGAGTAGCACTTATACCCCTTTTGAGTTGGAGAGTACCCAAGGAAGATACACTTAAGTGCTCTAGGATCAAATTTATCCCTTTTATGTTGATGGACATGAACAAAGGCTGAACACCCGAAAACCTTGAAGGGAATAGTGTTGATGAGACGTGTATTTGGGAAAAACTGAAGTAAGGTTTGACAAGGACTTTGAAAGTTGAGAATCCTAGATGGCATCCGGTTTATGAGGTATGCTGCAGTGAGAATAGCTTCACCCCAGAAATGTTTCGGTACATGAGTAGAAAACATAAGAGATCTTGCAACATCTAGAAGGTGCCGATTTTTCCTTTCAGCAATACCATTTTGCTGAGGGGTGTTGACACATGAGCTTTGATGAATGATGCCATGACTCAAGAGATAAACATTGAGTATGAATTTGAAGTATTCTTTGGCATTGTCAGTTTTCAGAATTTGGATTTTGGCTTGGAATTGAGTTTGTATCATGGTGTTGAAGTTTTTGAAAATCTGACCTGCCTCTGATTTTTCTTTCATGAGAAAGACCCATGTAAGCCGAGTGTGATCATCAATAAATGTAATGAACCAACGGGAACCAGTCACATTTTTTAGTTTAGATGGCCCCCAAACATCACTGTGAATCATTGAAAAATGATGGGATTCTTTGTAAGATTGGTTGGGATAAGAATTACGGACATGTTTAGAGAATTGACAAATTTCACACTTGAACTCATTTGGATTTTTATTATGAAATAGAGAAGGAAACAGCTTCTCAAGATACAAGAAATTTGGATGGCCTAATCTATAGTGCCATAACATGATTGCACTATCATTATTAGAACAACTGACAGAAAAAGAAGTAGGATTACCAGACACTAGACAATCGGACTGATAAGTTGTGCCTTGAGAAGGATTTGTAACCTCGAGAAGATAGAGTCCCGAGCACATTTTAGCACTGCCAATCGTCTTCCCCGAGTCCAAGACCTGAAATTCACACATGGTTGAACCAAATTTAGTTACACAATTCAGGTCTCGAGTAAGTTTACTAATGGACAGTAAATTGCAATTCAAATTTGGCACAAGAAGGACTGATTCAAGTGTAATATTCTCTGATACTTTAATAGAACCTGTACCAACCACTTTTGAGAGTGAACCATCGGCTATTCTGACCGTTAAGTGTTTATCACATGGACTGTAAGTAGAAAATAGGTCCTTATTTCCAGTCATATGGTCTGAAGCTCCAGAATATATAATCCATGGATTTGACGTCTCTTTTTTAACACTGAGAGCGCTTAAAAAATTACCTTTTTGGGCTAAGGACCCAGTACCAACCACTGTGGAGGTTTGGGCATGCAAAGACTGGTTGAACAGCTTCTGTAGAACCTCTAATTATTCCTTGCTGAATAGAGTGGGTTCAGGTGAAGGTTTTTCACCCATTGAGGCAAAATTGCCTCGCCCCTCTTTGTCGTTGGCAGACCGAGAAGACTTCCAATCTGCAGGCTTACCATGAATTTTCCAGTAAGTGTCTCTGGTGTGACCAGGTCGGCGACAGTGATCACACCAAGGGCGTCCTTTCTTTGGTTTGGTGTCATTGTTGTTGTAGGAGTTCCCTCTAACAGCAAGGGCTGAGCTCTCAAGACTTGTCATTGGTTCTTGAGAGCCCATCATGATTTTCTTTCGACTCTCCTCTCTCCGGACTTCAGAAAAAGCCTCACGAATATTAAGTAGAGGTTTGGATCCCAAGATTCTTCTTCTTACTTCATCTAGATTTTTATTTAATCCAATAAGAAACTTATATATTCTCTTCCGTTCAATGATCTGTCTATACCTGATTCCATCATCTAGGCAGCTCCAATTGTGCTCCTCGAACAAGTCCAGCTGTTGCCAATAGTGGTTGAGTGTATTGAAGTACTGGGTTACTGTTAAATCTCCTTGACGGAAGTCATGGAGAACACTCTCCACTTTAAACAACTCAGATGTATTCTCATTGTTGGAATACGTTTTCTTTGCAGCCTCCCAGATTTCCCTTACTGTTCTGTAGAGTAGAAAGTTCTCTCCGATTTCATTTGTCATGGAATTGATGAGCCATGACATGACCATATTATTCTCGGAATTCCAGATTTTGAACTTCTCATCATCCTGGCTTGGCTTGGCAGCCACTCCTTTGAGATAATCATCCTTTCCTCTTCCGCATATGAACATCATAACAGAGTGGGACCATTGGAGATAGTTGTTCCCATTCAGATTGTGTCTTGTAATGGGCATGGGATTATTATCTCCACTACTGTTACTGGAGGCCATGGCTACCTGGTTGGAGGAGATTTGGGACACGGAAGTAGTTGAGCCACTTCTCCCGTATTTGGTTATATGAGGGATTTAGGGTTCAGAGGATACTCTGATACCATGTTGAAAGTAGAGGAATACCTTTTCTTTTTTTTTTCAATAATCAAACAGGTTACACGTTCCCTAAATATATATGCTGAAACACCTAATTTCTAGGGATATATACAACTTACCTAGAATATGATCAAATCTATCTAAAACAGAAAGAAATAAATAGGAAATAAATATATAAGGATATGGTAACAAGCTACCAGAATCCCTTAATATATGGAACTGAATATTGATCTGTTTGACTCTAGATTTCCTTAATTTCGGCCCTCTAACATGCAGACAAATATGCATTCAAACTAAACTCCAAATAATTCTACAGTGAGGGCAAACAGATTATGCCTCATGAGGAGCCTACTGAAAATTTGAATCTAGGATCAAATGAAGGTAGAAAAGAAATAAAGACTGGCACTACTTTGTCCATCGATGGATGTGAAGTTTTGGTTGAACTTCTTCAAGAGTAAAAAGATGTGTTTGCTTGGTCATATGAAGACATGCCGAGTTTGGATAAAAAATTGATATTACATAAATTTTTGATTAAACTGGAATGTAAACCTATGCAGCAAAATATTAGAAGATTGAGACCTGAGATGCTGCTAAAAATTAAAGAATAAGTGAAGAAGCAATTCGATGTTGGATTCCTTAAAGTGGCTAAGTATCCTGAATGGGTGGAAAATATTGTCCCAATACCAAAGAAAGATGGGAAGGTTCATATGTGTGTTGACTACAGAGATCTCAATTAAGCCAGTTTGAAGGATAATTTTCCTTTGCCACATATAGACACGATGATGGACAATACTGCTGAAAATTCCCTATTTTCATTTATGGATGGGTTCTCTGGTTACAATCAAATAAAGATGTACCCTAAAGATATGGAAAAGACTATGTTTATCACCATGTGGGGCACATTTTGTTATAAGGTGATGTAGTTTAGGCTGAAGAATGTAGGGGCAATATACCAAAGAGCCATGGTAACACTAATTCATGACATGATGCATAAAGAAATAGAAGTTTATATCGATGATATGATTGTCAAGGCCAAGACAAAATAATAACACGTTGAGAATTTTAGGAAACTATTCCAGAGATTGAGGGAATGCCAACTAAAACTCAATCCAAGTAAGTGTACCTTCGGGGTGACGTCTGGGAAGCTCTTAGGGGTTGTAGTGAGCAAAAAGGGGGATTGAAATATATCCAAACAAAGTTAAAGCAATTCAAAATTTACCACCCCCAAAAACACGTTGATAGATTTTATTATCTGAGTTTGACATCCAATATGTGAGCTAAAAAGTAGTTAAAGGGAGTGTTATAGCAGATTTTATCGCAAGTAGGGCTTCTGAAGAATATGAATCATTGAGTTTTGATTTCCCAAATGAAGATTTGATGGATATTTCAGTTGAAGAGGCAATTACTTCTTCTAGTGAATATTGGAAATTAAAATTTGAAGGTGCTTCAAATACCCTGGGGCATGAAATTAGGGCAATTTTGGTCTTGTCTAATGGAGAACATTATCCTTTCACTAGTCGGTTGAATTTTAATTGCACAAACAATATAGTTGAGTATGAAGCTTATATTTTGAGCCTTAGAGCTGCCATTGAGCACAAAGTAAAAATACTCAAAGTATGTGGGGATTTAACTCTAATTATTTATCAACTCAGAGGTGAATAGGAAACAAAAGATCCCAAGTTGGTGGAATATCGTAAATTAGTCATGGAGCTTATCAAAGAATTTGAAGAATTGATATTTAATTACGTACCTAGAGAAAAAAAATCAAATGGCAGATGCCCTAGCCACTTTGGAAGCAGCCTTTAAAGTAAATGAGTATTCAAATATGATACTCATTGAGATGCAGGCTTATGAGTATCCAGTCTATTAATATATCATAAAAGAGGAAAAAGATGGAAATCCCTGGTATTATGATATCATGCAATACATCATATATCAAAGTTATCCTAAGCAAGCAACCGAGAATGATAAAAAGATTATTAGAATAATGGATATAGAGTATGTGCTTGATGGTGAAATCGTGTACAAAAATAGTCTGGATCAGGTTGTATTGAGGTGTGTGAATGCCAAAGAAGCCAAAACGATCATTGAATAAGTGCATGAGGGATTGTGTGGTACCCATGCCAATGGACATGCAATAACTAGACAAATAATGAGATTTGGGTATTATTGGTCAACCATGGACACTGATTGCATCAATTATGCCAGAAAATGCCACAAGTGCTAAATTTATAGAGATAAGATCCATACCATTCTTCATCTATTCGTTATGACTACTCTGTGGCCATTCTCTATGTGAGGCATGGATATCATTGGACAAATTATGCCCAAGGCTTCAAATGGTTATCATTTCATCTTGGTGGCAACATACTACTTCACCAAATGGGTAGAAGCGACTTCCTATTCAAATGTCACTCAATCAACAGTCTGTAAGTTCTTAAAGAAAGAAATAATTTTTCGATATATTTTACCGTAAATAATCATCTCTGACAATGCCTTGAACTTAAACAATAAGATTATGGAATCAGTCTGTTAGCAATTCAAGATAAAACATCATAATTCCACCACTTATCGCCCGAACATTAATGGGGCAGTAGAGGCAACTAATAATTGTAATACCCTAATTTTGTCTGGGCCTTTTAAATTCCCTGGAGATGACCGATAATTAATTTGAAGTTATTTGTGCTCGATGGGGAATGAATTCAAGTGATGAATCGTGGAAGCTTGCAGTTGGAAACTTTGGTGCTTAATTGGATTGATATCGTATACGTTTTCATTTTGGAAATCGAGATACAAATTCAAAGTCAATCCAAAATCCAAATTAAGTCTAAAGTCCACTTACAAGACCAAATTAGATTACAAATAATTACGACCTAATCCAAAGCCCAACAACAACATGAAACCCAATTACATCCGGAGCCCACAAAGCAGATCAGGCCCAAGTTTGGCCCAGTTTCATCAACCCGACCCGGTTGCACCAATCCGACCCGGTTGCAGCAACTGAGTTGCCCACGTGAATGCCAAGCGGTCCACGCTTGCCACCAGCTGGCTCCACAATGCCCCATGCTTCCCATGCTCCCATGTTCTGTCCCCCACGTGGAGTGCCCAGCAGCAGCTCGTGAACCACGTCCTGCCATCACTACAACCGAGCAGACGAGGCTCGGTTCCCAGCTGTAATCGAGCAGCATCCCACGTGAAGTCTGCTCCCCACGTACCCTGATCACGAGCCAACAGCATCCAGGATCCACGCCTGTCGAGCAGCGTGAGCACCCCACGGAAAGTCCCTCGAGGTCGTCACCCGTGACCTGCAACATCACGAACGAGGCAGAGAGAATCGAGGTACCTGGGAAAGCAAAACACGGGCATCAACAAAACCAGAAATACACCACGAAACAGAGGGGGGGAGGACGGAAAAAAAAAAAAAAAGGAAATCAACCACGAGACGGAACGAAATACACAGCAACCAGTGGCGATCATTAACAAAAGGAGGGGGGAGATCATATGAAAGAAAAACAGTTTGTAAAAAGAAAGGCTTCGACTTCCCTATTTGAAAAAAGCAAGGTGTAAACGAGGTCCCTTTTTGACCTCCTATTCGAAGAGTAATATAACGCAAGGTTTTTTCTTCATTATCATCTACAATCATGCTTTCCTTTATTTGTTTTAAATAGCTTTCCACGTAAATACAAAACTGAAAATAGTAGGGAGGAGAATGTTTACCTTAAGGGGTTTAGCCCCTTGTCGGGTTTAGCGGGTTCTCTCGTCGGCATCGGGATGCAAGCATTCGTGGCTTAGTTTCGAGAGGAGTGAGGTCTCGATTTGCTGCTAGAGTTAGAGAAGTGGTTTGGTCTGGTGTGATCTCGGCCTTGGTGGCCGTTGGGTGTGGTGGCCGTAGTTTCTAGGGCCGTCGGGGGTCTCGTCCTTAGGCCAACCAAGTGTGTGCATGTGGGTTTAGAAGTGTTTAAGAGCAGTAGAAAGAATAGAAGAGCCTTACCTGTCCGGGTCCTGCGGCGATGGAGTGGCGGCCGAGTTCCTTCTCTGGTGTCTGTTGTGTGTGATTGTGGAACAGAGGATGGGGGAGAGAAATGAGAGATGGGTAGATTTGAGAGAAACGGCGCAGATAGGGGGGAAGAAATTAGGCTTAGCAGAGTTTTGATCTGTTTTAGGTTAGATATTATTTAGGTTTTAGTCAAAACGTCGTCGTTTCAGCTGATGCTTTCCTAGTTTCTAATTCTGACTCTGTTTTCTGCGCGCATTCCATTTCGGTCCCCAAGTCAGGCATAATCAAGTTTTATTGTGTTTTTAATATTGTCTCCTAATTTTCGGATGTTGCATCTTGGTCCATAAATCATTGTTTGCATGTTTGTAATTTTGTTTCCATATTTTACCCGTATTTAATTTCAGTCCCAAATGTTGTGTCATTTAGCTTTTGTTACTTTAGACATTTAACTTCTGAATTGTTGCATGTTCGTTTTAGTCCATAAATCAACATTTGCATGTTTATAATTTTGTCTCTTTATTTTACCCGCATTTAATTTTAGTCCTAAGTAGTGTTGTAGTTGAATCTTTACTGTTTTAAACATTTGACCCTCGTGTTCTGCATGTTGCATTTTAGTCCTGAGTGGTAATATACTTAGTTTCTGTTTTCTTAGACTTTTGACTTTGAATGTTTTGCATGTTTCTTTTTAGTCCTATGTATGTTTAGGGTTTATTATAATTTTAGTCCATTATGGTGATGATTTGTTTTATTCTGGTTTCATTGTTTACTATGTGTACTACTCGTATGTTCATTTCAATGATTATTTGTTTATATTTTGGATATTAAATTCGGTTTAATGTGATTTGGTTTTTAGTGTAACATGTATAGTTTGGTATGTTATGTTTTTATTTTTTCGTATTTAAGTTCA